GTCTTAATAAAAATACATTCAACAAAAACCCATAAATATATTTAAAAATTTAATCCGAATGAATAACATTGATTTTGGATAAACTTCTCGATTGAATAATTAATGAATGACACTAACGCTTGAGGATAAGCGGAATATTCAATCTTATCTATAGCAACAATTTCATCATCTTTTCTCATTCCATTTCTATCCATTTTTCAAGTAATTTTATCATTTAAAATATTGAAAAAATTTCTTTCGAAGTAATTTCTTCCTTTTTTTCACATTAAACAAATCAAATAATTGCATATAATGTGGAAATGAATGAAAAAGAATGATGAAGGAAAAAAAAAAATTCATTTTTACGAACACTTTTTACCAATTAATTTCATTTCCTTTTCCATCTTCAAATTTCATTTTTTCATTATGTTTTTCGTTTAATTGTCTCTTCTTAAATATTTTTAACTAAAAAATTTTGAAAATTAAAATCCATTAATTAACAAACAAATAAACGAATCAACGAAAGATTACATATTCTTCATCACAAAATTTAATCTTTAATTGAATTTTGCAATTTTTTACCCAAATTTTGATTTACTTTTCATTAATTCATACATTTTTTACTTCATCCCAATAATGTATGTCAAAAAGACAATATGTTGATTAGCTGATAAAATTAGTGATAACGAGAACTTATCGATTTATTATTTATCTTAAGAAAAACTCTTTTCACATTTCAAATTAATTTTGAAAATTTCAAGGGATTTAAAAGGACTGCTGCGATGAACCGCAGGGTTTCTTCCTTTTTTTGCAAATGTCAACAATGTGAATGAATGTGAAATGTGATTGTTCCAGGCTGTATCGGCCAAAAAAAAGAAAAAGAAAAGTACAAAAAGGTAATGTGGAAATAAGAGAGCTAAAAATTGGGATAGGAAAGAAAGAAAGAAAGAAAAAAGTAAGGAAGCGAAGCAGTTTGAGTGTCCTATGACCTTTCTTTTTTTTAAAAAATAGCTTCAAAATGAATTAACTTAGTTAAATTTCATTTTGAACTTTTCCAAGATATTTTTCATTTTTACCTTTCATTAAGTAAATAATGAAATGTAATTTTTAATGAATCAAAAATAAAAATTTTCACAAAAAATTTTTGTAATTTGCAAATTTATTTCTTTCACAGTGAGAAATATTTCTTTTCATCAGTTGTCGAAAACGAAAAACGTCGTTTTGGGCATTATTTTTCCAAAAAAAAATCCAGAAAATAATGATTAAAGCACAATGTAAAGTTAAAAATGATATTTCAAGATGACAAGAAAGGATAAATAAATGAAATTAACATTAGAAGGAATTATCAAATTTATTTTTAATTTAAAAATTTACCTAAAATGAAAATGTATGTAAAATAGAACAATTATTATGTATAATTTATACAAACATAGCAAGAGATTGACAGGTAGTTCAAGCGAAGTGAGAAAGTTGAAAAAGAGAAGAGAAGAAAGGTAAAATGTGTCAACTGATTGGGTTAGAAAAAGTGAAAGGAAAAAGACAGGTAATGAGGAAATCAAAGTGTAAATGCAAATATTAAATTAAGAGGTGAAAAGAAAAATTTTTCTTTTTTTTCTCTGGATAAGAACTGTGATTCACTACATGATGTTGAAGATAGTTTGAAAGGAAAGAGTAAAGAGAAGTGAAATTGATTGAAATTAAAGTAGGTAGAAGGAGAGAGAGAGAGAGAGAGAAGAGGATGAAGAGAAAGGAAAGGAAATGAATGGAAACGATCCGTACAGTTTGAAGTAGAAAAATCATCATTTCAGTCCTGATTATCTTACCTGTTATACCGGTTGATTGTGCTCTTACCAACCTATCATTTCATACATTTACAGATACAATGATTCGTTAAATGATTGACTGATTTGATGAATAAAAGTGAATGGTTAAATAAATGGTTGAAATTTTTTGGAATGTTAAAACATATGTTAAAGGTAAGGAAAAGACTTGCACTATGTTTGTTTGAAATTTAAATTTTATTTACTGATTTTCCCAAAGAACATTTAATTTTAAGTCAATAAATCAATCAAAGAACTGATTTATCCTTTATGTTATCAGTTTGATTAAATAAAACAATTCAGGTTTGATCTGATGTTTCAGTTATTTATTGTATTGATGCATTGCTTAGTTAAATATCCATTTGTTTATTCCTTTTCTTCTTTCTCTTTTTTTCTTTTTTCAAAATATTCTTCGAAAGTTTTAAATATTTTCAAATTTTTGCTTTTATTCTTTCCGTTATTCGTTGAGTTGATTGAAAGGCGCATTCATGTAATATTTGACATTCATTTTCGCCAAGAGAATGCGCAGTTGACTATCTTCCTCGATACCGCATGATACATCAATTTATTTTGTATACAGTAAAGAATGAGAGATCAGTTGAAGAAATTGTTTGACAATCATTAAATCAGTCATTTTGTTACGAATTGTCACCAAAGTTCTTCCTTTTCTAAATGATTCCTTTCTATTATTTGTTTATTTTCATCCAGTTATTCATTTACATACTAAATAAGTAAGTAAATGATTAAGTAATTAAGTAAAAGGATTAGAAACACAAAAGAAAGCATATTACAAATATTATAAAATACTCGTTAATGATCATTCTCATATTATTGCTACCTTCATTTAATCATCATCGTGGTCAGCAACAGTAATAACAATAGAAGCAGTAACAATTATAACAACATACAACAAAATAATATTGACAACAACATCATCATTATCATCGTCGTCATTATCAGCAACGACAAGAAACATCGATAATAACTGGAAAGCTTTACATGTTAAGGAATGAATGTTACTGACGGTTGTGTTGCGTTGATGACGATGGCTGGACCAGATTGATACTTGTAGTTGTTCACATTATCGATGCTATTATTATTGGCTGATTAATCATGAAAACATGTTTATTATGTGCGCTGGTGTCATCTCTCTGTAAATGTCACCATTCCGCCATCATAGCCACTTTTCCCTCTTCCATCCTTTTTCCAGGTATCCCTTTTGTTGTCACCATTGCTTACCGCTAACCGCCACTCGCTGCCCGCTACCCGCTAACCGCTACTACTACTACTACTACTACTACTACTACTTCCTGTGCTCTTCAAAGTTTTATAAACAACTGTTACTTAGCTGCTTCTTCTCATTCCTCTTCTTAGTTATTCACAATCTCTCACTATGGCTAATTCTTGACTACACCATTTCTCCCCTCGATGGTGTCAAACATTACCACATACACACATACAAACACACACACACACACATACACACACACGCACGCACACATTCATACACACACATACACACACACACACATACACGCACACACATACACACATACACGCACACACACACAAAGGCCTACCCAACAAACATGTTGATGTAAATCCAAATCCACCTTTCCTTTCCTTCTTGCTTTTTATCTTACTAATAAATTATTCACGCATACATACACATACGCAGACATACATCCATATATATATATATATATATATATATATATATATATATATATATATATACATATATATATGTATATAAACATACACCCGCACGTACTCAACACGCTACCTTTAACAAATTAATGTTGCGGTTATTAGGGATCTAACATCATTTCTACTTACCTTAATCTACCCTAATTAATTTGATGCTTATTTTATGATTTCGATGATAAGTATTATATCTTATTGTAACCTAAGTAGACTGTTCATTGATTGGATAGAATAACACTTCAATATGACAGTTATAGATAACAGATATCTTTTTGAATTCATTCGTTTACAACATTGTTTTTTTTTTTTCGTTTTATTGCATAAATTGTAAAGTTATTCATTAAATTCTGGCAATTCGTTAATTAGAAAACTAAAATTATTTCCAAACAATAGTAATGAATTGTGCTTTTTATTATTTGTTGCCTAAGTAAATAATAAATTAAAATAACTATCGATGAACAATAATGAAAAGTAATCATTTTACCACAATTGATGCATAATTGAACATTGTGGGTCAAATCGGATATGTAGATGGAATTGGACAATGACAGATAGCAAATGGTCAGTATCGTAGCTGAGTTATATGATAAGCTATTTTGCATAATAATCATTTTAATCACTAATGGTTGATTATATCTTTGTTTTATCTCAAGCATATAATTATTGCTCTTAATTTAGTGAATCATCTAAGAAACTTTTCTTTCTTTCATCCTTCTTTTTCCTCTTATTGAGGTTAATGAGTAGACAGGTAAATATACCTTAGAGATTTATCCAACAACTTCCCACATATTTATACCATAAATCTTCCAAGGACGAAGATTGGAAGGGAATAGTTATTACGCTTAAAAGTTTACAATAATTTCGAAAGTAAAACCAATCATATTGACGCGTCATTTTGATTTAATCACTCGAGATATTTCTCTTTTGCTTATCATCTTTTTTTAATGTCCTTCCTTATTTGCGGTTTGTTATTTCCCTT